CACCTAATTGACTACCCCGGAACTTGACCTTGGCCACCAGACCACTTGACAACTGGTCCAGTGTCTCCCCCTTGTCATCTCTAGAGAAAGAAATCCCTGGAGCCACCATCCCTCCCAGCCCACAGCAGGCCACCTCCACGTCTCCTCTGACTCAACTGATGGGAAAGGACCTTGGATCACGGTTTGCTGAACTTAAATTCTCAACTCTGAGTCACTTGCACTCCAAGTTTATAGCAGAATATCTGTGGCGCCCAACTCAAAACAAATTGCATTTGCTTATCTAGCGTGGGGCCAAGTAAGGGCTGTGAGAAGATCACAATTGTGCATCTCAGAATCCCTGAATTTTGTGTCTTCTGTTGTTTCCAACAATCTCTGGGGCTAAATGATTAATTATACCTAAGACAGTCCAAAGCAATTATTTAATTAAGCTGTATAACAAGCTGCCAGTTCTGCAGAGCAGAGGGAAGGCCTTCACCCCAGTTTCTCAACATCTGGCCTTTGGATGACTTGGAAGATAAAAGGAGAAATGAGAACATTTTTATGACTAAGTAACAATTTCTAGAAATTTTCCATTAAGTAGAAAAACTTCTTCAGTAATTTGCTTCTTGTGATTAGAACTTGACATCTTTGACTCTCAGTGTTCAGCATACTTAAACCCAGTTGGAAACAGAACAGGCTGTAAGATGAACCATTGGCATCATTCACTTTCCTGGCCGGAAAGGCATCCTTCGGGCGCCCTCGTGTATTCTGTTCACTTACATTCATTTTCTGTGTTCTCCAGGCCTATTTATTTTTTAAGTTTGATTTCTTAAATTTTAAGATAAACATTGATAAGAAAAATCCCTTATTACTCACTTTAAACAAATCAAAAATTTTATCTTATAAAATGCTTTTCAAGGAAGGAGATAAAAGCCCTCCTCTCCCCCACCTCCAACCAGAGTGGTGGTCATCTTGGAGAGGTGCTCAGACCCAGGTCAGGTGACAGAGGTGGACATGGGAAAAGTCCAGTATAGTGTCTTTCAGTCAGGCTGTGGGATCTGAAAACATACAGGAATTCTTGGTACCTGGAAACTACATTGAGTGCCCAGCCCTGAGCAGCTGAGTCTTCAGGGAGAGGTAGGCCCAGCTTAGCTCCTGGCTGATGGCTAGATGGCATGCATGTTCTTAGCACTGTCTTCCGAATAGAGGAAGTGGCCTTCCAGTTCTCTCACCACAGAAAACTAGGGTGGGTGGTACAAACCAGCTGAAGAATAATGAATTGTTTCCTGTTGGTATTTTGCTCAGCAGTTGTGATCCAGATAATTATTGGACAGAGAAAAATACTGTACCATTTGAGAATTTAAATGCTTTCATTCTGTTTTAAAAGGGTTATGTTCACACCTGTATTTATTGCTGCATTATTCTCAGTAGCAAAGAGATGGAAACAACCCAAATGTCCATCAATAAACAAATGGATAGAAAATCTGTAGTACATCCATACAATGGTGTACTACGCAACATTGAAAAATGATGGAATAGTAAAACATGACACAAAGTGGGGGAGCCTTGAGAACATTATGCTAAATGAAATATCTCAGTCACAAAAGGATAAATACTGCATATAACACTGCTATAATAGAATAGGACCGACATGGAGGTGTTGAAGAGTGGGTAGAGAGTGGATAGATAACGAACGCTGCGTTAGAACAGATGAGGACAAGAACTGTCTGAAGGGAACGTATGATCATGCATTATATGTATGAGAACAGTTTGGAACACAGCATGCATTGTGGGGTGGGCTGGGAGGGGGACGGGAAGAAGAAAATGTGGAATAATGAATAAAAGGTGGGGAATCCACAATGTATGGGAATGATTGTATGAAATACAATATGAATGAAGAAAAGTGTGAAACACAGTATAAACCAATAAAAAGTAATTTTTAAAAAAAGGGTAGTTATGTTGTCACTAAGGAGCCATGGTAGCTCAGTGGTTAAAGCACTTGACTGTTAACAGAAAGGTTAGTGGTTTGACGCCACCAGCCACTCCATAGTGGAAAGATAAAGCTGTCTTGTTTCTGTATGATTAGAGCCTCAGAAACCTCCTAAAGAACTCTCTGTCTCCCAGGCTTAATGTGGTCACAATCAGTGGCAGTGGGTTTACTGTGTAACCAGTGACGAGCAGTAGTGAGCACAGCTGAGTGACTAGCTGGACAGAGGAATCCTAGGGCACGAGGCCAGGACAGCGCACTACATCCCTCATTTGGAAATGGGCTCAAAGTGTTTGAGGAAACTGATGACCTCAATGGTACGGCTTTATTTCAGGAAAAAGTGCAGCCTGACTGCTCATTCGAAGAAAAGCTGGTGTGACTTGGGCTCACTTACTTTGGATTTATTATTAGGAGGAAGGAATCCTTGGAAAAAGACTTTACACTTGGGAAAGCAGAGGGTCTGCAAAAGAAAGGAAGACTCTCAATAAAATGGGTTGGCTCAGTGGATACATCACCACAGAGACTGAGGACCACGCATGGTCAGCAGGGCTTGGTTCCGTTGTGTGTGGGTCACAGGACTGTGAACCACCTCAATGGCACCTGACAGGAAGAACCCTCTCCTGGTGGCGTGTGGAACTGACGCCCATCCTGCTCTAGGTCCCCACACAGGTGCTGGTGGCCATTGTTAGGTGCTGTCCAGCGTGACACATAGTGACCTTGTGAACCGCAGGTCTGAACCTTGTCCTGTCCTGTGCCAGCCTCATCATCTCTGACACACTTGAGGCTCTTCCTCTCTTTTGCTAAAGCTTCAAAATTCCAACATGTTGTCCCTTTGCAAGGAATAGCCCTCCTAGTAACATGCTCAAAATATGCGACAGTTCCGCCCTCCTTGCCTCCGTGGAGCACTCTGGCTGCACCCTCTCTAAGACAGATCTGTTTATTCTTTTGGTAAACTGTGAGATACTGACACTATTCTCCAGTACCATGACTCAAAGGCATCAATTCCCCTTTTGTCATTAATTGTCCAGCTCTCAGATGCATAGCAAGTGATTGAAAAGATCACAACGTGGATCAAGAGCATCTTTTTTAAATTAATTTTAATGAAAATTTACAGAGAGTTTGGATGTCCTTTCATTTGTTGTCACACTTTTCTCCCTGCCCACCCCACCCCTCCAGTTCATTCTTCTCTTTGAAAAGTAAAAGAAAAATTATTTCATTGTTATACAATCCTTCCCCCCAAGTCCACTCCACTGTGTGCAGCCTTTGTTCTGGACTCCTGTCAGACAATAATACCTAATCATATAGCACTTTTGAACAGTTTTCTCAGATCAGGAGCATCTTAGTCTTCAAACTGATATCATTGCTCTCCAGTACTTTGGAGAGGTCCGCAACAGCTGATATGCCCACTACAGTGTGTCTTGTGACTGTGGGAAAGCAGTTGTTGGTGGCTGGCTAGTGTCATTAACTGTTTCATACAGGATAAAACATTTAGAAAGTATGTCCATTTTTAACACAAGGTCCAATGATGATTAATTTTCTAAAACAATGAAAATGATTGTATGAAATACCATGTGAATGAAAAATAGTGTGAAGCTCAATGTACAGAAATTTTGTAAGAAAGCCAATTTTAAAAGAGTTGTAAAATTTAATAGTTACTTTTTTCTTTTTTAAAAATTAATTTTAATAGACATTTACAGAGGTTTTGGATTTCCATTCATTCATTGCCGAAAGAAAAAGAAAAAGAAAATAAAAAGTAATTCCTTCATTAGTATACAATTCCTCCTAATAGTTATTTTTTGAAAGTGTATTTGCCTTTCCAAACAGAGATATCTTACTGCTATGGCTATTTCATAAGTATACCTTATAGTCATGTCATGCAGCCACTGGTGGCCAGTGTTCTGTGAGCAGATGGGTCTAATAAAGTTTTGTTGTTGTAGTTGTTGTTAGTGACCATCAGATCACCCCTGATGCAAGGCCAGCCCACGTGCAATATAGCAGCACATCACCGTCTCCTGGTCCATCTGCACCGTCACTGGTCAGCCTGAGTCCCTTCTCTCAGGATCCCTTTAAGTGCCAATGCTAAATATTTAGAAAATGTGACAATGAAGATGAATAATTTTTATCTGGAATTTCCCTTTTGTTGAAAGGAAAGTGGCTTTTCTGCGTGGTATCTGCTCACTCAGATGTCATCCTTTTCAAAGCCGAAATATCTTTTTCTCTCAACTTTTCTTCCTGGTACTATTATTTTTAGAAGTTTGAAAACTGAAAGACAGGAAAAATACAATCTATTTTCCACCATAACATTTCTCAGACAAAACCTCTCAGACTTGCTTTTCAAAAAATTTGCAAAATGAGTTGGTGCAAATGAATGACATAGAGAAATGTCCTTTGTGATTAAAACCAGAGCCTATAAATAAGTTGGGACTTTGACTTTTTTTTGTTCTTGTTAAAAATGGATTCTAAGCCTTTATCCCTCCCCGGCCATTTTGTCGACAGCGTTAGGTGGAGGGCCGGCCGGCACCTAAGGCGAAAAGATGGTGGCTGCGAAAAAGACGAAAAAGTCCCTGGAGTCGATCAACTCGAGGCTCCAGCTTGTTAGGAAAAGCGGGAAATATGTGCTGGGGTACAAGCAGACACTGAAGATGATCAGGCAAGGAAAAACCAAGCTGGTCATCCTCGCCAACAACTGCCCAGCCTTGAGGAAATCTGAAATAGAGTACTATGCAATGTTGGCCAAAACTGGTGTCCATCACTACAGTGGCAATAATATTGAACTGGGCACAGCATGCAGAAAATACTACAGAGTATGCACATTGGCTATCATTGATCCAGGTGATTCTGGTATCATTAGAAGCATGCCAGAACAGACTGGTGAAAAATAAATCATGTAATATTTTTCTTCAATAAAATTGGCCAGAGGTTGTTTTTGGAAAAAAAAAAAATATGGATTCTAAGCCATAAACCAGAAACTGCTCTTGAAAAGTGTATGGTTTGTTTCCTGATTTTTTTTCTTTTTTTTTCTTTCCCAAAACAGGGGACTTCTTATGTTTGAAAATCAAACCTACGCCTTAGAACCCATGGCGAATGCAACCCATAGATACATGCTCTTCCAAGCAGAGAGTCTGAAGGGCATCCTGGGATCCTGCGGGTCACACCAGAACACCTCGGGCCTCGTGGTGGACCAGGCTCTCCGGCCGCCCTCCAAGACACGGGTGAGAAGGGCAGGCAGGAGCCCCGTTTTGTGTTCTGGGGAGTGGGGACCCATGCAGTGCGCGGGCACCCAGTGCTGAGACTCTGGGGACATTCTCCCACCTGCATGCTGGGCCTGGGTGCCATGTGGGGGTGGTGGACATCACGTGGGTGGGCCATGAGCTGGCACTGGAATGGGGGCTTTCCTTGCTCTTACTTTCCTCCAAAAGCTACTGATAGGCGAGTGTTTTCCTGAACTACTCCTAGCCACACTAACCTGTGCCACACGTGGTATTTTGTCTCCTTTAATCCTTGGTCTGGGTCTCCTGGCTCTGTGGTCCCAGCTTATTTCTGTTCAAGTGTCTTGCATATATTTTACCGCTGTAGCAGATGTACCACACTTGGGTGGCTTTAAAGAACAGACGCTGATGACTTGCAGTTGTAGATGCTGGGTGTCAGCCATTCCAGTCCTTGCTTCCTTGGCTTGGTCCTCACTTGATATCTGCCATTTCTAGCATCTGCTTACCTGGGAGTCTCAGCTGGTCTTTTTATGACACAGAAGTGATTAGGGTTAGGATACACTTTATCAATATAACCTGTTTCCAAGATTGCATCTGTCGACAGAGGGCTAGGATTCCAAAACACAGATCTCAGGGGGACATAATTCAGTACACACTGTGTATGTCCGGGATTTCCATAGCAGGTGACACTGCTTTTATTTGGAGTTTTGGGGTTTTTCCCTGCATCACTCCACCAGAGAGGCTCACACACATCTATCATGTACCATCTGACCTTGAGACAGTGCCCTCTGAGAGGGAGGTAATCTCTATAAACAGCCCTGGTGGTAGAGTAGCCGAATGCCTGGCATCTATCAGGAATAACTTAGGAGAGACCCCCTGCTCCATTCAGGGGGGTTTGAGCTGTCTTTCTGCCCCCACACTTCTGAGAGTCACTGATTTCAGAGCAAAAATTACAGAGCCCAGCATCTGTGGTCCCACCGCGTGCCTGTTGTACTCTTCAAACACACTTTGATTTCAAACCTAGGCTGAGATGTGATTAAGTTGTCGCTTCCACCAGCCATGAACAGGTATAATATTTTCCTTAGGGTTTTGAAACTCTTTGTGAGTTCCCTGATGAATAAATGTTTTCTGTGTTAGGAGGCTTATCAACTGACAGGTTAAATGACACTTAAATATTTTTTTTTTTGCCATCTAATTTAGAAATAGAATCATGGCCTGTACTTGGCAGTCGTAGTTTAGGTCTTTAACTAATCTTACAGCTCTCTGAAACTGTGATTGGCATAGTAATTTCCAGTCATTTTTACTTGCCTGGGAATGACAAGAACCTGAATAACAATCTTGTTTTGTTAATAATGCATATTGAAATGTAAATGAACCTTTAAATTGAAAGAGAGAAAGCATCTCCTGCACTTGTACTTGGCCCTCAGTATTTTTCTCTACAAATGGTTTCTTTTATGGAAGAGGAAATGTCCTTGACTTCAGAGTATGTCCATGTAATGAAAATGTCTCAAAAAGTCGTTTCAAATGAGTGGAATACTTGGAGATTGCAAATTTCAGGAAGACGCTTTGAGCAGCACCTGCGGTGCCTGTGTGATTGTTGAAAAGGTGAGGACTGATGTGACCTTCGTAATAGAATGACCCCCTGCTCAGTCCCACACCGTCCGCAGAATCATTGCTGTGTGTGAACCACTGTTAGAGCCCGTGTCAGTGCAGCTCATTGAAGGTCTTCCCCTGCGCTGACCCTCTTCCGACCATGATGACCTCCAGGAACTAATCCCTCCTGATAACATGTCTGGAGTATGTGAGGCAGAGTCTCACCACCTTCACTTCAGAGGATGGAACCTGTTCTAGTTCTTCCAACACAGACGTATGTGTTCTTCTTTCAGTCCATGTTCTTAATTACCATCATTAATTCAGTATCAGTTCTTCAGTCACCCTATTCATGGTCCAGTTTCTGCATGCCTGTAAGGATTGGATTGGAGGAAGACTCATCAACAACTTGTCTTCTACAGAGGACACAAACTTGCTTGCTGAAACTGAGGAGGACCTAAAGCATTTGCTGCAGAAAGTCAGTCAGTCGTAGTCTTCGGTATGGATTGAAGCTCATCATCAAGAACATTATGAAGGTGAAGATTCTCACCACTGAGCCTGTTGGCAGCACCATGATATAAGGAGAAGAGATTGAGGTTGTAAACAATTTCAGCTTATTCAGCTCCACAGTCAACACTCTTGGCACCAGCGGACAAGAAATAAAAAGACGAATTCCACTGGGGAAGTTTGCTATCAGGGACATTTTCAAAGTCCTAAATAGTACTGATGTCAGTCTAGCGACTAAGATGTACCTGATCCAGACCATATTCTTTGCAATTACTTGCTGTGCGTCAGAGAGCTGGACAATGACTAAGAATGACAGAAGAAGTTATGCCTTTGGTCTGCGGTGCTGGAGAAGAGTACTGAACACACAATAGAACACTGGGGGAGCAAGCAGGTCATTCTTGGAGAGGGTGAAACCAAGTTTCTCCTTGGAGGCAAGGATTTTGAAGCTCTGTCTCCCATACTTTGGTGACCCGACCCACGGGTTCACCACATGTCCTAAGGAGGGGGAAGTGCAGATTGAGGGAGGGACAAGAGACACGAGAAAATGGAGGCAAGACAAAATTATCTGATCAAGCCCCAAATTTATTCAAGAAACTCTGCAATAAATAGGCAACTGTGTAGGCCGGGCTGCCAGGGAACCCAGCCCTAGGCTATCAGTTTACAATAGAGAGGAAGGGGCATTGAATTACAGGTACTGATTTAGTGAGGTAAAGTATTCCCAGAGATGGGAGGGGTGGCCTCAGGCTGAGCTGGGCCTCTGCGTGTCCACAGTGGGTATGTGAAATGAGGTCCACGGGCAAAATAGTGTTGCTCGTGCCAGAGCCGAGAGAGCTCAGATGGCTTCCACACTTTGGGCATGTGCCCAGGAAGGACCAGTCTTTAGAGGAAGACATCACGCTTGGATGGATGGAAGGACAGCACAGGAGAGGAAGACCTTGGATGAGATGGACAGACACAGTGCCCAGGGTATTGAGAGTAGGTGTGTTGGAGTCAGTGAGACCTGCTTAGGATAGAGCAGGGTTCAGAGCTGTTGTCCATAGAGCAACTCGATGGCACAAAACGACAGGTCAATTGAAAAGATCACGACTTGGCTCAGAATTACTGAAGTCCTCATAGGGGTGTCCTAATGGGGTCTTTTGAAGCAGATTTGCCCAGTACGATATATCATTTAATTTCACGACTGCTCTTTCTATGGGCATTAATTGTAGATACAAGTAAAATTGGATCCTTGATGACTTACCTATTTTCTCTGTTTATCATGATATTGCTTATTGGTCCAATGGTGAGAGTTTCTGCTTTCCTGATGGTGACCGAGGGCTGGAACTTCATCGACAAGTGCTTCAAGTCCTACAGACTCAACACCAAATGGGTGTGTTGAGACTGTACACCACTTGATCTCCCTCACTTACACTGCCTTTATTTTATACCAAAAACTGATGTGATTGGCACTGGCTCATCTTGTGTGGGCAGTGAGGCAACTCTGTTTGTTTTATTCCAGATTTTTCCTGCCCAAGATAAGTACTAACCTTTGTGAAGATTGGTTTCTGGTTTCCATACTGTGATCTTTTGGATGTTTGTGTTTTTCTTCACAGAGCTGCAGAGATAAATCTGGACTCTGGACTCTATTAAGAACTGGAGCTATTGTTGTCTGGCATGTTTATAAGGTTCTGTGCTGGGTTGTAGTGAGAGCCCTTCCACCTCCTAGAAGGTGTAGAGAAGGAGGGATGTGGTTACCCCGGCCACCCCGCCCACCTGCAGCAAAGTCCTTCCATTTTGCACCAGCTCTGCGTTCAAAATTGCAAACTAATTTGATCATTAGCCTCGGCAAGTGTGGAGGAAGGTGAAGGCACAGACCGCTGGTAGAGGAAATTATGCAGTATCTCCCAAGGCAAATGCAAATTGCCTTTGAATGATCCCTTCTTTGGGGATTTTCTGTGCTGCTGTTTTCCTCCATTAGTAGGAATAATTATGAGTCTAACATAAAAGTTGATGCCTTCTCTAGGAAGAAATGTTTGCTGGGGCTGCTGGGTCCCAGCAGGGCCAGGCGACGCTGTGAGCTTTCCTCGGCGGGCTCCGGTTTCAGGATGCACTCCTGCTCTGGGCTGCTTTTGTGTTTCTCAACAGTTTGTTTACTAGAAGTCGGTGGTGGTGGTGCTGGTGCTGGTGGTGGTGCTGGTGGTAGTAGTTGTGTATTATACAGTAGGAACTAACTCACAGCTGACCCTCCAGTAGGTTTTCAGAGGCGGTTAATAGTTTAAGAGGAGATTGCCCATCCTTCTCCCACAAAGCAGCTGGTGGATTTGAACCACATACCCTTAGGATTACAGCGCAGGTTCTTATCACTAGGCAACTTGAGCTCCCTACAGTGCTTAGGCAGGAGTGGTCCAGTCAGAGCAGAACTGCACTCCAGGGGGTTTTCAGTGGGTGACTTTTTCCAAAGTAGAACCCCAGGACCCTCTCCTGAGGCACCTCTGGATGGGCTCAAACCTTGACTTTTTGCAGTGGTCAAGGGCGCTAAGCAAAGGTTAGCTACCCAGAGGTTCCGGTAAGAAGTCAAGAGCCCAGCCATGGTTCAGTGTCAGGAACTGGCCAGAAACATTTGAAAACTCAGCACAGCGGATGTTTTTACTACGTCTGAGGGCATCATCCTCAACCTTCCACTCCTTGAGGAACAACGCCCAGTCACTTTGTCACTTTGAAGCTTGCCTGATTTTTTTTTTCTTTCTTATCAAAACAAGTGCCCTCCCATGTGATTAACTGCCTCTGAAAACCAGCTGGAGGGTCAGCTATGGGTCGGTTCCAACTCTAGGTACACAAGGACAACAGGAAAACAAGTGAAAAATGCTTATTATGACAGACGTAGTGAAAGGCAGACCACACCAAAAGAGTTAAAGTGAAAAAGAAGAGGGGGGTAA